ACTTCTCTGGGTAACCTGTTCCAGTGTTTGACCACGCCTGCATTAATTTTTTTTTTTTTTTAATTTAACGTTTAAGCAGAATTTCCTGTATTTCAATTTGTGCTTCTTGCCCTGTCACTGGGCACCATTGAGAAGAGTCTGGCACCATATCATTTACACACATGGACACACATCCACCTGAGGCACCTTCTTCAGGCTAAACAGTCCCAGCTCTCTCGGTCTCTTCTCCTGTGAGAAGTGCTCCAATCCCTTAAGCATCTCTGTGGCTCTTTGACCTCACTGCAGTACATCCACATCTCTCTTGTACTGGGGAGCCCAGAACTTGACCCAGCACTGCAAATGTCTCACCAGTGCTTTAGCGGAGGGGGAGACTCGCCTTGCTCAACCTGCTGTTGATGCTTTCTAGCATAGCCTAGGAGGCTGTTGGCCACCTTTGCCTCAGCAGCGCATTGCTGGCTCATATTCCATTTGGTGTCCACCGGGACCCCCAGGTCTTTCTGCAAAGCTGCTTTCCAGCCCCACTCTTGCAAACTTGCTGAGGGTGCACTCTGTCCCACCAGTGAAAACGTTAAGCAATTTTGGCCTCAGTACATGCCTCCTTAAGCAGACTTTGAGCTGAATCTCGCTGTTTGAGAGAGGCTGCCAGGGATGACGGTCACTGTGTGTGCCTGGGCACCTCAAGTTCAGCGAGCTCGGAGGGCGTTACAAGGCTTCCTGCAGCAGCTGGTGTGCGGTGGGGCACGGGGAGCAGGGTGGGCTGCCAGAGAAGTGGTGGCTAGTGTTGAGGAAGAGGAAGGTGCTCTTTACTTTTCAGGGTTAACTCTGCCAGCTCTCAGGTTTGCTTTTTACAGCTAGTCACAAAATATTTCTAGAAGAATGATTTTGAGCAATTAAATGGAAGGGAAGTGTGGTAGTTCAGTGATGCTGTTGGAGGAAACCAAGCAATCTAGCAAGGCTTGGTCCTCAGCCTTCCCACCGGCATGGTGACAGACTGATAATTTGTAGCGTCTCTGTCTGTTCTTAACTGCCAAACAGAAGACACTTTAGGAAGTGTCTTTGAAGGCTCCAGTGACCTTCATGATGACTGCCAGCGCTTCTGCTGAAGTACAGTGCTTGGCAGTTTTTTCCCTTCTGAACCATATCGGTACTTGCATTTAAATCAGCTTCATCTTTAACTGGCTCCAGACAACCAGATGTGCTTAATTACTGACTTTGGACAATTTTCTTCAGCTTGGCTCTGAAAAACCTAAACTAACAAAAAGTTAGCTGAGATGGCAATCTTGCAATAAATACAAATTTGAGAAGAGAGAACCTTTTTCCGATCAACTGTTGTGTGATCGGTAGAACTGACTTTAGAAGAAATACAAGCAACCTCTTAGGGAAAACAAATCTAACATAGTTGGCTGAGCTCCTTACATTATAGCCTAACCTGTTCAAAAGAGGCTAGCATATGTGTTACCCTGTTATAGCTGGAAAGTGGTGGGGAAATGGGTTTTGTGTGTGGAAAGGCTTCAACTTCTAAATTAAGAGTGATACGATACTGCCTGAGTTTGTATTACACTGATGGAAAGAAGTAAATAATGTTTTCTTAGCTAATATAGAAATAGCTATAACAGCTGCTTGTCTAATGGGGTGAGAAGAGACGGAGGAAGTTCTGCTTCACACCACACTTCTTGCCAGTAATTGCTCTGGCCTGTTTTTCATTGCAGATGTCACCCATTTGGTCGACCTGAGCAAGGAGTGGAATATGACTGTAACGATACACTTCGAAGGGTGGCCCAGCCGCATCCCGCTCATGTCTGAACCGATATGCCTGATCTGTAAGGATCCTCGCACCTGCGACCGCGTCTTGACGTTAGTGTCCGGCGCCGTCTACAAGATATCCTTTCTGTGCAAGGACTTGTCTCGTCTGAGGATCACAGCTGAAAAAGGCATAAGTATGACAGAAGTGGCTTAACGTTGTTTCCTAGGGAATGCTTTTGCGTGCTTTTCCCCAGCGGTCAGCCAAACCTTCTCTCCCGCTTGGGCTTTAAATAGAGCGAGGTTGGAAACCAGGCGTTGGCCAGCTGGGAGATGGGTACAATGAATCTGGAGATGACCTTGTTGTTCACTACGTCATTCTACCTTTAAAAATAGAAACTGCGTAGCTATTCCTAGAAGGGAAAGGACAGAAGGCACCTAAGAATCTTCTTGCTGAAAACTGTAAAATAAGGAAACAGAGCAGGAGAGCCATAAATCTGCCCATGAAAATGCGGAACCGAGGCAGCCACCAGGAATGCATCTTTTGCCGCTTGCATGTCCGCTTGGTGTAAGATTTTCCCAAATGTTTTCAACTATCAGTAGAAAAAGAGTTTTAAAGTATACATCTGGACCTTGGCTAATCTGCAACTGTGGCCCAGTCAGCCAGTGATACAGCAAAACGAGTATCTTGAGTGAGGAATTTTGAATATGTTTGTATCTGTTGGTTTCTTTGCTGTCCTGCACCCTTTTGAGGAAAACTCTTTAACTACAAATGATACATGTTTGGGTAAAGGTTACTAAGAGAGGATATTTTCTCAGGTAAATGCTTATCTGGGTCTGTAACACAAAACTGACAGTACCCTGGGTATGTGTACTCTTGTACGCAGGAAAACTTGCTTCTCCTAGATATTTCCTCTGCAAGAAAAATACAACCCTTGGGACTTGTTTTTGTGATTGTAGGCTGTGTCGATCTTCGGTGGTGTCAGAGGAAGATCTATTCCCTGTTGGTGCCCAAGGCTATTACCCAATTGCCGATTCGACTGCATAAATTTATTTGGAAGCTCTTGGCTCCTGATCTGATCAACATAGAAATTACTTCTCCGTCCTTGAAACTTCAGCAACATGTCCCAGAGCAGAGGTGCAACACAAGCTACAGTTACAGCATTGTTAGTGCCACCCCAGAGACGGAGTTGAATGTTGGTGTATTCTGTCCTGGTGGATCCATTGAAAAGATTCAGATGAGGAATAATATCACCATATCCTTAAAAACATTTGGTAAAGGATTCCTCAATGAGTCTAACCATCAGGATCTGAAAATGTCTTTTGTGCCACATATTAAAGGTAAGGTAGTGGTTTGTACTACTTTGTTGTACAGTGTTGGATCTCTCAATATGCTTGTTAGAGCACATATGAATAAATAGAAATGAGAGTTCAATTCTTTGCAGTCTAATCCTGGAGCCATTACTGGGATCGATCTTTATCTGAATCAGTGAGGTGGTTTATTCCTGGAAGAAGGAAGGAACCTCATACTCTATGTGGCAGATAGTTGTTTGTGGGAAATTCTGCAGATATATCTGTGTTAATTGGGATAATTACTGATGTGGAAGGGATGATAGGCGAGTTGTATTGCTGGAACTGAGACGCAGTTGACTGTATAAATTTGCTGGTCACAGGTATAAGTGACACTTTTTTGTTATGGAGAAGAAAGACCGGATAATTTTACATGCTGAAAGAGAAAGCTTTAAAAAAAAGGAAGTATCAAAACTAAGTTTTTATTCCTTTATTCCTTTCCTTTACTACAGATGAGTGCACTTTCACTGTGAGTCCAAATCCAAAAGCTAAAGTTTACTTGCAGACTCCCAACTGGCCATATGGTCTACCTCCTTATGTCTCCATATCCTGGTATGTCGTTGTGCCCAGCAAGCAGGTTGCCCACCTAGGGTTCTCCAAGGACCGCATGGGCATCGCTTGTGAAACGGGCCGTGCCTACGTCAACATAAAGGAAGAGACACTGGGGGCAGAGGAGACCGTGCGCCGTGAGGATGAGCTTCTGCCCGAGCCCCGAAATATGTATCACGACTTCTGGGTAAACGTCTCCAACTGTAAACCCGTGGATAAGACGCAGCTGGCCTTGCAGTTTTGGGTGACTTTTGCTGACAAGCAGATAGGTGAGTCCTGTAAGGTTGTGGTGGTTTGCTTTCTGCTTGTTTCCTTGCTTTCCCTTGGGGGAACAATAATGGATGCTGGTCCACCTGGGGTGTGGGTTTTATGAGATCCCTGCCTTCGGAAATACCTGTCCCTCAAAAACCTCTGAGAGTTACAGCTGGGTACTTCTAGAGGCTGGGGAGGAAGGAGGGTTTTTAATGTGGTTGGGGATTTTTTTTATGAGACAGGGGATTGCAGAGCTCGGGGGGAGTAAGCCTGGATTTTATGTTCTTTATTTAATTTAGCTTTTTAAATTGGAGATCACAGCCAGAAGGTATAAGAAGACCAAGTGATGTTTTTTCCCTCCCAAGGTCACAGACCTGGTGAACAGCTTGGGATTTGGTTATGCAAACGTATTCATCCAGGTAGTCTTTACTTCATGTTAGCAGTTCAATTAGTCTCAGTGTTCACATGAGCAAGAAATCATCCTTGGGGCAGGTCTGACCATTTAGTGGAGAGTGCACTGACTGCTACAGCAAAATCTGCACTCTTGGTGTCTTTCATCTCCCCGAAACATAAACCATTAGAAAAAAGGCATTTTTAGGGCAGTCTTTGCTTGTGTAAATTTGCTTCACATTTGCACTTCCTCTTCATCTGTGGGAGACTGCTGTCTGTAGAAGTATTGGCTACACAGGCTAGAACTGAAACAGTATCAAATTAATTTCTATTTTTTTCCTCTTTTTTGGTTTTTTGTAATGTATATTTCTTTTAAAACATGCAGCATTTTCTTTTGCTCACACGTGGACTCTCCTGATCAATTTTATGACTCTTAGAAAACCCCAGGTCAACACAATTTGTGTATTTCAGAGGAAAGGATTATGTTGAGGGAAAGTTGGTGAAATGTCACTGTTTCCTTTGTTGAATCCCTCTCTGTCTCTCTCTGCACTTTCTTCTCTTCCCTGCCTATTCAGCCAGAGGCACCTGAGACGTTGCAGGTAAGTTCAGCAGCCCATGAGCTGTATTGAAATCTTGAAGGTGGGATAGTGGGTTGGCTGGATTTTTTGGCTGTGCTCCACTGCTAGCAGCAGGAGTTTGTTGTTGCTTGGCCTCCAACCTCTTGGAAATGGCTTGTGTTACCCTGCAGTGAGCACGGCTTGGAAACTCCTGCTCTGCAGGCAGCTGGTATGCTTCCAAACTCTTGAGGAGGTTCAAACCCAGCTGGTTTTTGGGAAGAAGCTGAATGTTTTCTCTCTGTGGCTCAGAGTCCTTGTACCTTGTCTGTTTGCAGACCTAGGAGTGATACTTGCTGTGGTGGCTGGGGCTGGAGTTCTCGTGACTATTGGACTCACTGTGTGCTGCGTTAAGAAGAAGTAAGTTCATGATTTGGCATGTGTAACTTAGCAGTTCAAGAAGGCATTTCAGGAGAGCTGCTGGGGCCTCTGTTTCACGTCTTGATATAGATCCCTTGAACAAGAGTCAGAAGCACGAAGTAGGCAACGTGCTGGCGGTTGAAGTAGCAGGCCTCCAAGAATACTGCTTTACTCTAAATTGATTGACTTTAAGAGTAGAGCATCATTCCTTGAGTCACATTACTTTCACCCCCAGTGCATTGCCTACCTTGGCCTTACTTAGCACAGGCTTCTGGCTGTACTGGAAGTAAGGTATTGGTCAGACTTCATCAGCAATTCCTGTGAAATGAAATCACAATGAATGTGGCTGCTGTGCCTGTTGCTCTAGACAAGGCTTTGTTCGGACAAGCTGTAAACTCACTTAGATATAGTAAGAGCTATCTTTCACCTACACAACCTCCAGCAACTTCTTCTGGAGTTTGCACATCAAGTGGGAGCATTTTTCTATGAGATGAGCCCTTGGAGAGAGAACTAGGTTGTGCAAAGCAAACGTGCGTAGCCTTACTCATGCAAGCAGAGTCTGAAGTCATCGATAGCTTGGGGTTTCTGATACATGTATGCTCAGTGCTGGCAGGGTGATTGGGTCCTGAAGCTGTAGAGCTGGAATGGATTTGTGCAATATGATGACTAGGGCAGTTATGAGCACGCTTCTCTGCCACACAGGAAAGACTTTACAAATACAGGCTTAAAAATCTTCAATTCAGCCTTTGGTTTTCCTACCTTGGGGACAGTCACTCCAGAAAGTGCAATCAAAAGAAGTTTGTTCAACTTTCATAGAGGACCCACTATCTTACTGGTCTTCAGCAAAGCTCAGCCTTGGTTTGTGAGGATCTGATGGCCTCTAAGTCCTATTAGTGTCTGCAGATGTTGGGAGTCTCAGTACACTGCACAGTTGGGACCCCCGTACTTGGGAGGCCATTGGAGTTAATCTTGCAAACTTCAGGGTCAGCAGAACAGCAGTAGGTAACCAAATAGTGTGAAGTTATTTTCTGCTCTGCCAAAAAAGCATGTCTAGACTCCAGAGTTATTTTTCCTAAGATTGCAAGTAAAGCCTTCAATCCAGGTAGGCTGCCTGACCCTAGGTAGCTGGGATGGGTAGACAGAAGCTGCCGTTACTGAGTTCAAATGCACCAGCCGTGTGTTGTTTCTCACCTGTTAACGATTTCAACTCTGTAACAGGAAGAAGAAGAGCCAGGATCCCATGGTGGGAGTGTACAATGCTAACGTGAATACCCAGGTGCCTGGAAAACAAGGCTTATTCACAAAAGGGAGGAAAAACAATGAGTCTCATGTCTATGCAGTTATTGATGATGCTATGGTCTATGGGCACTTGCTGAAGGAATCCAATGGCTCAGTCACTCCAGAAGTTGATGTGTACAGGCCTTTCGATGGACCCATTGGTAGCTTGCCGCCTTCTCCACCTCCATTCTCCTTCAGAAAAGACATTAAGCACTCTCCTAACACTGAGGAACCTCCACCTCTGATGGACACAGACCATGACACTTACACATTTGCTCATCAGAAATCACGGCAATCGGAGGACAATGGAGATACAAACGAAAAGAATAATGGAGATACGAGCACGTCCTTGCTGGAAAATAAGGAACAGGATGGTTTAGTGGAGTAATTTTATGCCAGGTATAGCAGTTTCCTGTGGAAATACAGGTGACCTGTAAGGACAAGGGTCTAGGAAAAAAAAACTGAAGAGGAGTGTTATTTTTAAATGTGTTTTGATGTTGTTTTGTTTCTTGTGTGTGCTTTTGGTTTGGTTTTTTTTTTTTAACTGCAGCTGTTGGTAGCTTTCAGTTTTAGAGTGAACATCTAGCAAACTCAAAAACAGTCGAGACACTCCAGGACTGCATTCACTTCTGGTTGTGAAACAAGTGGCAAAGATACGCTCCTGCTTATTGTTATAAAGACATCAGGAGAATTAATTCCTAACTGCCAGCTTAAATAGAGTAGGGAGAGTGTTTTGTCCAGAATGTCCTCCTCTCTCACAAATCATTTGTTCTTGAGTGTTGGTTGGTGACTCCTTGAAGGTGTAGGCTACATCACCATCTCAAGGCAGCTCCAGGTTGCACAGATGTCTAAGCAATCTGCTAATATCTGAGGAAAGGAGGGGACACTGTAAGTTCCACCGCTTGCTGCTTGAAGGTTCATCGTATTTAGCATACTGGTGGCTATGTAAGTGTAGTGAAAGACCATGTGTGCCGCCTCAAAGAGCTCCGTGTGTGTAAATCAGCGTGAATGCTTGAGCTTGGGCTCTTCTAGTTTGGAAGTAAAGTTATGGGTTTTCTCTGATTTCCAACTGATGTTATAATACTTGGATAGCACTGTGTGAGCCTACACTAAAGACTATTTTCTTTGCTTTTTCACAAAAACAGTTTCAAAAGTCTAAACCAATTTGCACTTCTGTTCAGGTGTCTGTAGCATTCACACTTTACTAATACCTTGCCCTTTTGGCTCAGATAAGAGTAAGGATTCAGTGAAGAAATAATGATGCGGTCATCCAGCTGTTTAGTAATGCATTTCAATTCACATGTTAGAGATGCTTGGTTATTTAATAAGGATCAAAAGAAGGAGTAAAGAGAACAGATTATTTCCAACAGGTGGTTTCTCTGAAATGCAAGGTATGAGAGTGAATGAAGCCTAGATTTTTTTTTTTTTTTTTTTTCCCCCCATCAATCTGAATTTAACAACTGTGTTGAAATGATGGTGGGGACAGCTTTTGATTTCTAGTGGGACTTCTACTTTGGTCATCTAGCTGTCTTTGAAAGCCACCTCCTGAAATCAGATAATAAAAGGTCTCATTTTTGAATGCTGTAGTTAGCCTGCCTCTCAGTTTCTGTGCCTTTTAAAACTTGAGGGTCAGATCTTCATGCAGAGGACTACGGGTATATGAATAAAGTTGCCTTTTATATACAAACATCTGCTTCTCAAGGTGTGCAGTTATTGAGGATGTTTGCAATTTTGCATGCAGCACTAGACCCGACGGCTTGAGAATTTCTCTCCGAATGTTTTATTGTGACTGTTTCTTGCTTAAGGATACACAGAGGTGCCATAAAACTTTTAGACAGTGTTGCATGCAATAATGTTAAACATATAATAATGTCTAAAATGAAAATGTCTTTACTAGAAACCTTACTGTTTACATCAAAAAAGAATGTGGATTTCTTCCTGTGTTAACTATGCTGGCATTGCAGATTAATTATTTATACAGTCAAGTGTGTGTATTTAACAGTGTATACCATAATACTGCTTGGACCACTATAAGATTCAGTATAATGTCATATTTAACGCAGTTTTGTGTAGCATATAGCAAAACATGTGCCGTCTAAAAGTGCCTTTTAATTGTTCAGGTATTTTCCTGCTTATGCTTATCACTTTTAACATAGAAATGTGTATTCCTAGATCTCTGACTAGTCACTGGGATCACATATTTCAAAGTGTACTGGGTCATTTTAATGTTGTTTGAGAATTTAAAAATATTTCTGCAATACTGATATCTGTTTTTCTCAGGTAACTCAATTGCCACAATACATTTTTATCGGAGTAGTCCGGGTGTGCATTCATCTGGTCAGCGTTTCTCACTTCTCTTTTATTGAAAAGGGATGAGAAGTCTGTAAGAGGAATTCAAGGCTGTCTCATCCCTCTAGCTCGGTTTCTGCAGTTGCTTAGATGAAATTTTTTAGTTCATATTCTTTCTAACCAACTGAAGAAAATGTAATGGAGGTCGGGGTTTTGTTCACAACCTCTTGATCTTTGAAGGAAGAATGTGATGCTTGTTGACTGTTATTTTTATTTGTTCTATTTTAACTCAGCTTTTGGTATGGCAATATAAACCTTAGTTTACAGTTGTTCCCAGTCTAAGGTTGACTTTCACTGTGCTTACTTTGGTATGTTTAGAGTAAGAGTTCAGGCACAAATTCCAGTTTGCTTTTCATTAAGAGAAAGTTGTGACTTAATTTTTTTAAAAAAATAAATAAAACATAACAATACTACCAGCTGGAGTAACTAGAGTATGTCTTTCTCCTGTGCGTGCATGTGTAAACTCAGCCTCGAGTATTTTGATGTCTGACTGTCGGTAGCTGCCATCGCCCTAGATGGTAGAAATGGGTTTCTAGAGAACCTAGTTTGCTGGGATAATGTACTGCTGACTGTGCGTGTCCTTTTTCTCGCATAGCCAGTGATATGCTATTAATTGCTGTTTTTAAAGGCGTGTGTTTAGATTGCTGGGGAGAAGGCTTGTAAATTATTTGAAGCTTTCAATATAAAAATAAATGGTTCAGCGGCTTCTCGGTAGGGTCGTGATGTTTGTAATTTATTCACGCCCAAATGACACATACAATTGAATTCCAAATTAATTTCTTTTCAGGGATAATAGCATAAAAGTACCTTTTATGACTAGTCCTTCAGCCCAGAAGAGACCCTTATGAAAATGTGTGAAGCCCTTTTTGTTCTAAATTGAAGTGCATGGAATCAGTACATATTGACTGCTTTCTTGATTTTTTTTTTTTTTTTTTTTTTTTTTAAATTTTGAGGCAAGTTTAATGCACATAGAAAATGATGTTTGAAATCCTTACTACTGAGGATCCCAGTAATTGCTGGCAATGGATCCTAGGCTGAATTAGTCAGATCTACTCTTGGAAAGCGTAGGAGACTCAGCAAGGATCAGCCAGTCCCTAGGCCCTCTCCAAAATTGGCACTTAATATGAATGTAAATTAAAGTAGTTACCATTTGGATCTTCACTGAGATTGTGCCATCCTGGAGTAGTTCCCGTGCAGTGGTCTTTATCTAAAAATGAAAATTTCTAAATCTGGTTAACCATTAATTGAAAGGTGGGAGTCCATAGGAGGACAGCAGTTCAGAAACTCCTTGCCAGGTGTCATTTGCTTCTGAAGAGCAAAGGGAAGCGGAGGGTTTTGTTGCCCAAAGCAGCAGAGCTGAAAAGACACTACTTCTTGCTGCTTGAACTTGAATCTGTGAGGTTTGGACAATCTCGATCTACCAAAACATTCAGTAATTGCTTTATTTTTAAGCATGTATGTGAATAGTCTATTGCAATTTCCAGATAAATCAAGAGCCAAGTTACTACTCCTTGGATTAGAGTAAAATTTGTAGAGCACCAGTAAGAAATGAAAAATTTGGGTTTGGTGTTGTTGATACCAGACTAATATTGAGACTTCAACTCCTTGACCCTAGTGGAAAAAAAAATCATGTTACTCTGAAGAAACTATCCTGGGATACCTGTGAGTGTGACAGAGAATAAATTTAAGTATGTGAATGTTGGTGGGGGGCAGGGAGGAAGCAAAATGCTGAATAACCCTCATCCACGTGCACATCTTCACCAGCCAGCGTTTAATTGTGGGCTGGTGTACACAAAGATGGGAGCAAATCTGTCTCCCCAAAAACTTCGCATCTAGAAACTAAAAAAAAAAACCCCCAAATTATAGGATTCATTCCTTTAGTATAAATGGCTTCCTATATCCAACGTAGTGATTGGTTTATTTTTGATAAAGTATAGCTTCCCAGCAATTACATAAGCATGGGTTACCTAATTTTCTTTGAAACTGAGGAATTCTGGTGTGGAAAACTGATCCAGCCTGGAGGAAGGGACAGTCCTTTTACAGGGACTTAGAAACTTCTGGCATGTTGTTTCGGCAACATAAAGGAAGCATGGCAAATTGTTTCAACTCCTAACATATAAAAGGTGTTTTTTTGTGGTTTGGGCTGCATCCATCTCTTGTATTAAAGAATTGCTACACTGCTGCACACAAGTCAGGCTTAATGCTTCGGGGCAAGATGAATCTTCAAAAACTGAAGGAACTGCTCTGTTTCTTGCTACATTTTTGTGTGTGTGTGTGTGTATTTTATATATAGCTATGTGTTTTTATCCTGGTACAACTGCTACAGTCACTCTTAGCTGTAGAAAGAGTGCCATGATGCATCCTGTCAAAGGTGCTCTAACAGAGCAGTAGTCTATCAGCACACAGCACCTTTAGACATGAGGCTAGAAAAATGGCCTCAATTTCTGAATGGTGTTTTCTCAGAAGAAAATGAGGGGAAAAGTTCTGGCAATGTCCTGTCATCTTTGCAGCAAAACTATGTTATTTTTTTCTAACTGGAAATGATTTGATTTCAGAAAGTATTATTTAGAAGAAACGAAATATTCCATGTAAAGTATGTACTCCCCTTTTCTTTTTTTTTTTTATTATTTCATTGTCAGCGTAAAGCTGAACTTTAATATTGCTCAGCAAGGAGAATGTCTGTCCTACACATGTGGGTGCAAATCCGTGCTGAAGGGAATGGTGGAGGGGTGGAGGAGAGTGCCACATGCCTCCCCTCCCATCAGGGGAGAGAAAGAGTGAAAGGGAGCGCAAGGGGGAAAAAGTTTGCTGTAAGTGACTGATTTCAAGGGAGCTGAGCCCTAGCGAGCAAAAGGCAGTTATAGGCCTGTAGGCCTCCTGGATGTATGTAATTTCTTCTGGAGGCTTTTTGTTCTGAGGCTTTTTTTTTTTTTTTTTTTTTTGAAATATAGGAAATGAGGGCAAGTTTGTGAAAGATGCAAAAAGAACTTCAGGGTACATCAGGGTCCCTGCAACAACTTCAACCTACCTGCTGTTTTC